GGAGGAGGGAAGGGAGGGGGCGAGGCGAGGGGAGGCGAGGCGCTGACTCAGAAGCGATTTAATTGAGACCGGGAGGAAATGAGCGCACAGGCAACGCTGCCAGCTGCCTGCCTGCACCACCCCCTTCGCTGGGATCGCGGGAGGCGAGGGGGGTGGTGGAATCATCCTAATTAAATCACTCGCCCCTCCTCGCTCATGGGGTGGGGAGAGAAAAGCAAGGCCCCATGCTTCCGTGAGGCATGGCCCTTCCTAAGGGCTGCCAGCCTGACGCAGCAAACCAAGAGTCTTGTGGCAGCCTGAAGCCCATCACGTTCATTGTGGCAGAAGGCTTCATTGATATCATTGACTGGTTTTTTACTTCTAGGGTGCTTTACTCCCAATTGCGAGATCCAGGATGGCTCACAAATTATTAAAAGACCAAGCAGACCAGAGCAGATGCTTTTCAAGCCACCCCACTCAACTGCAAAATCCTTTCGCCATTTGTTGGTTGGTTTGGCACCCTCTGTCAGTCCTTGGGTTGCTGCTCTGCCTTTCCTGAAATCCCAAAAGGTTCCCCATGGCAAGCATCCGTGTGATGTCCCAAGTCATTGTTCTGCCTGAAGCAGGGCAGCCAAAGCCACCCTCCCCAACCAAGAGGCACACAGCCCAAAGCCAGCCTGATTGTGATGCCAACAAGCCAGATCTTCCCACAGGCACTGCTTTTGCATCCTTGATGGCTAAAAAAACCCAACAGCACAAGAAAAAAACAGGTAAGTCAGAAGGTGCTGCCTTTTTATAATGGAGAAAAATCTGCCCAAGAGGGCAGCGTCCCTTTATGGAATGGTTGAGCTGGCCCCAGACACCGTGGGCACCACACCGTAGAAGCTGATGGTTCCTAGGTTGGTTTGTTTCTTACACTTTTATAGTGCCCAATTAGTGCGAAGGGCTACTTAAGGCAGCAAACAAACAAATGATGCAAATGCAAATTATATCGCAATAAAAATAAATCATAAACAAAAATTAGAAGGATAAGAGTAAATGAAATAAATAAAGCAGCATAATTAAAAATAAAACAGCCTAAGTTATCATCTAGGGTAATAGTATCATGTGTAGTAATAGCCCCAAGTCACTTGGGAGGTTGGGTAGCCACTAGGGCAGGCTGTGGGGAACAGCTGAAGGCTGAAGGGTTTCCTTCCTGGCGTTGGTGGGAGAAACTACCACGTCTGTGGCCGTGGTAGTTTTATCCCTGGCTCGTGTTTTGCTTGTTGCTGCAGGATCTGCTCCAGAGAGGAGTCTGAATTTTAGAGGATGTAGACAAGGTGCTGATGCCTGTTCCCAAAACAGGTCCATAAAAAGTGCCTTTAAAGTTCAGATTAAAAGTGGGAGTGGATTCAAACGTGCAAACTCTGTGACATAAGAGTCACCAGCCTGCACTGCCTGGGAAGACAGGTCCAGGTGTTTATGTCAGACCTGGCACCCAATTAAATAAATCCCAGTAGATTCGGTGCATGAATTTTAAATCAAGCCACTGATTAAACCTGCATATCTTTGCATATGAAAAAAGTAAGGAGGAAAAGCAGGCCAACTTCATTTCGAGTAACATAAGAGAAGGGTAAAGCGTGCTGCTTGCTGGGTAATGTCTGCATGAAATTTGTGGCTCCTGCCACCCATGACTCACTGTGAGTTCTGTGCAAAATTTAAATAACTCAGGTAGGAAGCTGCATAATTGCAGCTTACTCTTATGTAAGACTGGCTTACTCTCTGGTAAGAAGCTGTAAAACTGCAGTCTAAATTTTACAGCCCTTGTTAAATTAGATCTCCTTGGGTATTTAAGTCCTGGTTCTAAATAAATTTGTTGTCTTGTAAACTCTTAGCTTTAATGTAAGTGGGAAAAGATTTACTCTTGCTTGTTTTTTGTTGGCAAGCCAAAGGCAGTTAGCGTGTGCTCAGAGGCAGTTATGATTATTTTTGCCATAGTTGTTCCCTATTCAGCACTAGTTAGGACTCAACTAGAGTACTGTGTCCAGTTTTGGACATTGCACTTTAAGATGAACGTGGATAAACTGGAACAAATTCGGAAGAAGGCAACAAGGATGATCAGGGGACTGGAAACCAATCCCTAGGAGGAAAGACTGAAAGAACTGGACATGTTTAGCCTTGAGAAAAGAAGACTGTGGGGAGATAGGATAGCACTCTTCAAAGACTTGAAATGTGGTCATACAGAGGAGGGGCAGGATCTGTTCTTGATCATCCTAGAGTGCAGGACACGTAACATTGGGTTCAAGCTATAGAAAGCCAGCTTTAGGCTGCCTATCAGGAAAAATGTCTTAACTGTTAAAGCAGTGCAACAGTGCAACCAATTAACTTGGGAGGTGGTAAGCGCTTGAATGCTGGAGGCATTCAAGAGGAAATTTTGGACGTCTATCTGTCAGATCAGATAGATTTGATTTGTATCCCTACACTGACTATGGGGTTGGACTCCACTGTTCTATGATTCCTATTCAATATCCTTTAATGGGCCAAGTCTTCATAATTCATTCAGACAGTGTGTAGTAATGGTTAGAGAGTTGGACTAGGACATGAGAGACTTCAAATACTCGCTTGACCATGAGATCATCCAAGGCCAGTTATACTTTCTCAGTCTGACCTTCCTCACAGAACTGCTGTGAAGATGACATGGGGAGGTGGGGAGTCATGTATGGTATTCTAAAGTAACTGGATGAAAGGAAGGATATACAGTGGTGCCTCGCATTACGATGTTAATTCGTTCCAGCAAAATCGCTGTGGAATGAAAACATCGTAATGCGAAAATAAAAAGCCCATCGAAACGCATTGAAACCCCTTCAGTGCGTTCCAATGGGCTGTAAACTCACCGTCCAGTGAAGATCCTCCATAGGGCGGCCATTTTCGGTGGCTGTCTTGCGAGGAATTCGTCCCAGAAAACAGCGGGGAGCCATTTTATTTACCCAGCGGCCATTTTGAAACTGCCGATCACCTGGAGGAAAACCGTTGTTTTGTGAAGAATCGGTTCCTGAAGCAGGGAATCGATCATTGCAAAGCGAAAAAAAACCCATTCAGACCATCGTTTTACGATCGCAATTGCGATTGCAAAAAGATTGTCGTAATGCGGTTTTGTCGGAATGCGGGGCAATCGTAAAGCAAGGTACCACTGTATACTAAACTACTCACAAAGTATCCTGCTTGGGAAAAGCAGATACTTGATAACTAACATTCTGTTCACGAAGATAGCCAATATATATGACATTACACTGCTGAAGCTGGCAACGTTTCAAGCAGGTTGTATTTAAGTGATTTATAGCCCACAAAGCTGTACTTCAAGACAGCTAACAAGAAAACATAATGAAACCACACACAAGAATATGTCAACACACCGACTTGACTAGACTAGGTACTGTAGTTCCAATGTACTGTAGTAAACCTAGTGATTCGATGGGATTTCCAAAAGGGTTGACTCGCCTTTCAACAGTTAATTCCATGGGTTTGCTCTAGTTGAGATTAGCAAGTAATTCGATTTAGGCCACAAAAGCTGTACAATCATGGGTTTTTTTTTGGGGGGGGGCGGAATTCTATCTTATGAAATACTGCCATCCGTGATAACATGTCTTCCATTTTTCTGTTTAAATACTGGAAAAAGATGGAGTTTATAGGATCTCTAAAGCAGAAGACCTGGAGGTAAACCCTGTCTGGAGGTCTGATTAACACGGTGATGAAGGTCTGCCTGAATGACATCTCTGGAACAGTAATGGGTTCTGCTTCCAATGATGGGTTAAGCTATAAAGTATAGTCTGGCTCTCTCAGGGTTTGGATTTTAGTCTCTTCAATGTGCGAATGAGAATGAGACTCTTTATTTCTCTGGAGTAACAAACTCAATGCTGTGTTGGTGGATTCTCTAATGTACCAGCGGTAGGTGAGGAGTGTCTATCTGTCGTCGGACCATTGTCCAAAGGGATGTGAAACCTCTCGGTCTTAATCTCATTGTGTTTCTTAATTCTCATTGGCATTTTCTTTGGAAGATCCCCCCCTCCCTCTGACCTACTTCTTCCCCTGTTGCTTGTGGTGTGTGCCTTTTTCACAGACATTTTCAAAGTGTGTGCATTTCCCCTTTGACTAAAGTGTTTGTACACATTTTTCAAAGGCATGGGCTTATGTAAGTTAAGTTACATAACTTTAATGCTGATAATGAGGAAAGCAGAATATCTGAAGCTTTTCTATACCTCGGCTCAACCAACAATCCAAATGGAGACTCCAGCCAAGATATCAGAAGATGGCAGAGACTCAGAAGGATGGCTAGGAAGCAACTAGAGGAGAAAATATGTTATCCAAGAGGACGAAACCCGTACCGCTGAATTTCCAAATGCGAAATCTGGTCAGCGAAGAAAGCTGACAGGATGGAAACTGACTCATTTGAAATGATGTGTTGAAGGAGACCTTTAGGGATACCATGGGCTGTCAGAAAGACATATAGTATGTGTTGAAGGAGACCTTTAGGGATACCACAGGCTTTCAGAAAGACATATAGTTGGGTTCTAGGTGAAATCAAGCCTGAACTCCCCCTAGAAGCTATGAACCTGCCATACTTTGAATATATCATAAGATTGACTGGAAAAGACAGTATGGACAGAAAAAGCTGAAGGCAATAGGAAAAGAGAAGAGTGGACATGAGGTGGAGGGACTCAGTACAGGATCCACAGCCTTGAATTTGCAAGCTCTGAGCTGGACCTTCTGGAGGTGATTAATTCATAGGGTTGGAAGAAACATCATAACACAGAACAACTGTATGCTTGTTGAGTTAAGCATGTTCTTGGAATGTTGACATGGTTTTGCG